TCCTTCCTCCTTCCTCCCATCCCGAGTCCTCTCCTCCCCCACTCCTTCCTCCTTCCTCCCATCCCGAGTCCTCTCCTCCACCACTCCTTCCTCCTTCCCCCATCCCGAGTCCTCTCCTCCACCACTCCTTCCTCCTTCCCCCCATTCCGAGTCCTCTCCTCTACCACTCCTTCCTTCCTCCTTCCTCCCATCCCGAGTCCTCTCCTCCCCCACTCCTTCCTCCTTCCTCCCATCCCGAGTCCTCTCTTCCACCGCTCCTTCCTCCTTCCCCCCATCCTGACTCCTCTCCTCCCCCTCTCCTCCTGCCCCGGCCCCTCCCCCCGCTAGTATGGCCATGGTCGTGAACCCTTGGCAGGAGGAGATCCCCGGGGGCCCGCCAGGCGCCCAGCCCCCTCCGGGCCTGCCGTGCGCTCCGGAGCCGGGGGTGGCCCCTCCGCCGCCGGGCCCCCCGAAGGGCGCGGTGGCCCCGGGCCCGGCGGAGGCGGGCGAGAAGGGGGGCGCCCCGCCGAGCGTGGACTGCATGGTGTGCGGGGACAAGTCCAGCGGGAAGCACTACGGGCAGTTCACCTGCGAGGGCTGCAAGAGCTTCTTCAAGCGCTCGGTGCGCCGCAACCTGAGCTACACCTGCCGCAGCAACCGGGAGTGCCCCATCGACCAGCACCACCGCAACCAGTGCCAGTACTGCCGCCTCAAGAAGTGCCTCAAGGTCGGCATGCGCCGGGAAGGTGAGCGCCCCCCGGCCCGGCCCGGCTCGGTTCGGTTCGGCCCGGCCCGGCCCCTCCGCTCCCTCGCTTTCCAGCCTCGCCTGGCTGCCCTGTCTTTCCTCTGGGGTCCCCCTTCCTGCTCTCCCTTTCTGTGGCCTCTTCTCTCTGTCTCTTCCTGGGGTCCCTTCCCTCTCTCTGACCTCCCTTTCTGTGGCCTCTTCTCTCTGTCTCTTCCTGGGGTCCCTTCCCTCTCTCTGACCTCCCTTTCTGTGGCCTCTTCTCTCTGTCTCTTCCTGGGGTCC